TGATATGGTATGGTTGTTGAAGTTTTATGGATGAATTTGACTTGTCATCAATCTAATTAAGAAGTATGAAGTGTTAGAATTGGAATTAGAACACATTGAAAATTTGGTATGATTCTTGAATCTCATATGGAAGATAGGATTTTGAGGTTTAAGATGAAATAAATGAATATAGATTGGTTTAAGTATGTGTACTAGAGTTAAGAATGAAAAGGGATGATATATGAAGTGTTTGAGAGGAAATGAAGTAATTTTTGGGTTGAAAATATGATTTCTGGGCAAGGGGAATCGGTACCCATTCAAGGGGAACCGATACCCCTTCAAACGAACAAAATTTCCAGAATGTCATGAGGGAATCGATACCCCTTTAGTAGGGAACCGATTCCCCCTAAAGGAAAAATGGGAATATTGGTTTAATAAGTTCGTTTAAGTTGCTAGTATCTAATTACAAGGTGTGGGTATCTAATGATTGCCTCAAAATGTACATTTATGTAGATTCTGCGCATAAAGCAATTCCGGAACATTTGGCAAGTAAGATCGATCAAGGGAAAGATAAGAGATTGGAATTGACTAGTGAGGCCAAGGTGAGTGCATACTAGTGATATGTAGTGTTTAATGGAAATAAGACTTGCGATGAGTCTATTTCCTAGAGTAATATGCATGAAGTCATGGACATGATTATGTGTGGTTATAATTATATGTGATTATCTGTATTACATTGATTGTATGTATGCATGACTAAAGATAATGATATGCTTTGTATATGCTATATGATGTATGTAAGACTTTAATATGTAATAATGGAAGAACATGAAATAAGTTATATGATAGAGTCATAAGAAATGAAATGAACATGAGAGAATAAGATAATCAAGTATAAGTTATATGATATGGTATAAGTGATTATACGAGAAATGTTAGGAGACTCTAAGAGAATAGTATGAATTCGAGGGCATAAATAAGGATACATAAATTATATAGAGAAGATTGATAAATTAAAGGAAACTATGGTTTATGTATTAAAGTGAAGAGCTACAAAGTTTTATTAAAGAGTATTGTGGAAGTCATGAGAAATTGAACTAAATAAATAGATGGTTTATATGAATAAAAAGGGAAAATGATATAAAATAAGTTATGAAATTATATGAATATAGAAGATAAGTCGAGAGATGTAGGGAAATAGAAATATATGTTTATTAAGGGTCATAGGAGAACAAGTATATGTAATATGATAATGAAATATAAGACTATGTGGATACATGGTTATGAGATAAAATATGTAATAATAGGAAAATATGATGAAAGTGAGTTTATAAGAAGTGATATGAACTAGGTAAACATGGGTAACAGTATATGCATAATGGAACCATGAGTTGGACAAGTACCTAGTGGTATGATTTATTATGAGAATTAGTATAATGGAGCTATATGAAAAGATTATAATGGATATATGAAATTGAATTAAGTAAAGAGATTAAAGTAGTACCTAAATAAAAATACTATTAAATGATATATGTTTAAAAATACATCATAATTTATAATCTATGAGAATACAAAGAAATAGAGCATAAGGTAGATAATATGATATCCGTTATTATATATCTATATGATATATGTCATCAGGTAATATGAAAGAACTCTGAAAATTGATATAAGCTAGGAGAAAGTGTTCTATGTGTTATATGAAGCATATATGATCATATGTGAACAAGATATGATATGTATGTTTATATGAATATCTGAGAAATGATCTAAGCTATATGATATGATATGTGTGATTATGTGCACTTTGTGATATATGTTATATGATATGGATCTATGTAACTACGTGAGAAAGTATATAAGCTATGTGACATGTAAATGTGACTCATATGAAAATGTTCTATGAGTAATGGAACTATGTGTTATGTGAAATGATAAGTATAAAAGAAAATGCCCATGTTATGTGTCTTGAGAGCTAGGGGTATAATTGGCATGCCATGAGTAGAGGGTCTACGCGGTCATTCAGGACAATATTCTACGCGGTCCTTCGGGACAATATTCTACGCGGTCCTTCGGGATATATATATATTCTTTGGAACATGTGTGAAGTCTGGTGAGACACATATATGATCCCTAGCATATGTATATGATTCTTAAGGAATTCTATGTGGTCCTTATGGATATCATTATATGGCACTACGATGCAATTCTACGCGACACTTCGGTGCATTTATACGAGCTGTGGTGACAGCATAGTGCACAACCTCACAATACTCAGATACCTTAGGTTCTCAATATGATATCATGGGCCAATAAACTCATTAATACAAATTCATGAATGTTAAAGTAATATGCTTACAGGTATGTATATTGGTGATATGAGAACAATGTATGTGATATATGTATATGATTTGTGACATGATGTGTGCATGATATGATATATCTGTGATAGGGGTAATGGTATCTGTTACATAATATGCACGAATATATATTGATGTATATGTAAATGAGTTGTATAATTTGATAGCATAAAACAGTCATGCATGATTAGTGGGTATGAATTCCATTAGATGTGTTTTCTTTATGCCTCACTAAGTCTTCGACTTAGCGTGTGATTGTTTCACAAGTAGGTTCCGAGAAGAGTAAAGAGTAATGCGGAGCAAGACAGGTCAGTTTTCCTTACCAAATGTCAGATCAGAAAATATATGTACTGTTTATAGAGTGTAGTTGGCATGTAGTCTAAAGATATAAATTGTATGAACTCTGATATATTTTGTAAACGTTTTGAATAAGTTAAATGTTATCAAAGTTTTTAAATTACTCACTATTTTATACGAATAAATGTTTGAAAAGTCAATGTGACACTTCGGACTCGTATCCAGGTCGGATACGAGTTGGGGGTGTTACAGTTCTCTTCTCCTTTCTTCTTCTTCTTCACGTGGAGGCCAAGAGCCAAAGGTAAGTTTCTTTGTTTATAATTGAATTGTTGATTTTAAGATTGGGTTTTAATTATTAGATAATAACTAAGCTTAAGGAAAGCTTAAATCATCTTAAAAGCAAAGGATGGTGGAGTTAGGAGAGATTAAAGATTTAGAGTTTACAAATGAAATCTTGGAATAAAGTTCATTTCTTAAATTGGAAGTTAAATTTGACTTGTCAATGGTTAAATTAAGAAGTATGAAGTGTTAGAATTGGAATTAGAACACATTGAAAATTTAGTGTGATTCTTGAATGCCATGTAAATGATGGAATTTTGGGTTTAAAGAAGTGATTATGGAATAGAAATGAGTTTAAATATGTGTATGGAAGTTAGGAATATTAAAGGAAGTAAAATATGAAGGTTTAAGCTGAAATGAAGTGAATTTCGAGCTCAAAATAAGATTTCTGGGCTAGGGGAATCGATACCATTCAAGGGGAATCGATACCCCCTCAAACGAACATGGAATTCCAGAATGCCAGAGGGGAACCGATACCCCCACAGGAGGGAACCGATTCCCCCTAAAGGAAAAATGTGAATATTGGTTTAATAAGTTTGTTTAAGTTACTAGTATCTAATTACAAGGTGTAGGTATCTAATGATTGCCTCAAAATGTACATTTATGTAGATTCTGCGCGTAAAGCAATTCCGGAACATTTGACAAGTAAGATCGATCAAGGGAAAGATAAGAGATTGGAATTGACTAGTGAAACCAAGGTGAGTGCATACTAGTGATATGTAGTGTTTAATGGAAATAAGACTTGCGATGAGTCTATTTCCTAGAGTAATTTGCATGAAGACATGGACATGATGATGTGTTGTTATAATTATATGTGATTATCTGTATTACATTGATTGTATGTATGCATGACTAAAGATAATGATATGCTTTGTATATGTTATGTGAGATATGAATATAAAATCATATGAGAAGTGAAAAGAATTACATGAAAATAGACTAAGTGATTATATGTATATGTGAAAGAAGCTATATGATACGATCTATGTGATTACATGCAACATATGATATTAGATATATGTTTACACATACATGTGGTATGTGACAGAAGAGAAGGAACATGTGATTATGAGATCAATGATTACACGTACATGTGATACGTGACTGAATGAAAAGATGTGTTTATAAGAGAAAGAATATGAATAAATAATGTGAACTGTTATAAATGATAATGCTAATGTTATGTGATATGAGAGCTAGGGGTATAGTTGGCATGCCAAGGGTCGAGGGTTTACCTATGTTCTTCGGGACATATGGACTGTTTACCTATGTTCTTCGGGACATATGGACTGATTACCTAGGTTCTTCGGGAATCTATGGACTGGTCTTTCGGGACATTGATCGAGCTGTGGTGACAGCATATGTGTGCACAACCTCAATGTACTAACATACCTTAAGTTCTCACTAGTGTACATGGGCTAATAAAGTGATTAAACAAGCATACTGAATGTGATATGTATACGATGGGTTTATAAATGGTTATCAAAGGTAAGTGGTTTGAAATGTGTTACATGAACCATATGATGTTATGTGTGTTTCTTAATGATAATGATGGTATATGTTTATGTATGATTTATGTTATATGAAATATTATATGTTTTATATGCCTCACTAAGTCAATGACTTAGCGTGTGATTGTTTCACACGTAGGTTTCGAGAAGAGTAAAGAGTAATGCGGAGCAAGACAGATCAGTTCTCCTTACTAAATGTCAGATCAGAAAATATATGTATTGTATATAGAGTGTAGTTGGCATGTAGTCTAAAGATATAAATTGTATGAACTCTGATATATTTTGTAAACGTTTTGAATAAGTTAAATGTTATCAAAGTTTTTAAATTACTCACTATTTTATACGAATAAATGTTTGAAAAGTCAATGTGACACTTCGGACTCGTATCCGGGTTGGATACGGGTTGGGGGTGTTACAGATAATATTTTCAATGTTGATGTCTTATGCCTGTTAGAAACCCGTGTTAAAGCTGAAAACTCTGATAAAATTCTAAAATCTACTTTTGCGAGCTGGAATGCCTTTACTAACTACGAGTTCTCTCCAAACGGAAGAATTTGGTTCCTTTGGAAGAAAGGAATTGATATTTCTTTCTGTCACTCTTCTACCCAAAAGTATCACTGTTAATTGCTCTTATATTGACTCTCATTTCATCATCACTGCTATCTATGGCAACAACTGTGGTCCTACCCGTAGAATTCTTTGGCAAACCCTTAAAGACATTGATCATAGGTTTGGCTCCCTTCCTTGGATCCTAGGAGGGGATTTCAATAATTTTCTTGACTCCAAAGAAAGTTCAGACTCTGATCTCCTAGGTCCTTACATTTCTCCTGATATGGTTGATTTTCAAAATGTTACTCAAGATCTTTCCTTACAAGATCATCCGTTTTTTGGTCCAACCTTCACTTGGAGCAACATACAAAGAGAATCTTACATAGCAATGAAACTTTATAGAGTTCTCATCAATTCTCTTTGGGCTACCACTTTTCAGAACTCTTTTGTTGAATTCACTACCCCTGGGCCTTCAGATCACTGTATGGGTCTTGCATGGGTAACAAACATATTCATATTAACAAAACCAAACCTTTTAAATTTTTCAACTTCTAGTCTACACACTCAAGCTTCCTTGATGTTCGACGGTCTTGGCTTCAGCCTTCCCATGGTAACCATATGCAGAAATTATTTACTAAGCTCAAACGTCTTAAACCTTGTTTACATAATCTAAACCATGATCATTTCAGTAACATTTCTGCTAAGGTTAAACAAAAGAAGGCTAAGCTGAATCATATTCAAATTGAAACTCTTAAAGGCACCTCCTCTATTGATAAAGAACTGATTGCTCAAAAGGAGCTGAAGGATTTAGAGGACTCTGAGCATATGTTCCTTAAGCATAAATCCAAAATACAGTGGATTAAAGATGGTGATAAATGCACTAAACTTTTCCACTCTTCCATTGCTTCAAAAAATAAGAGAGATACCATCAGAGTTCTTTTTAACAATGATGGTAAAAGGCTTGATTCTTATGATGCTATAACATCTGAAATCATTGATTTTTTCAAACACCATTTAGGTACTACAGATCCTAAAGTTCAAAATATTGATCCTTCCTATTTGAAAAAACTGCTCCATGTTAACTTACCCAGTGACACTGCATCTGATCTTATAAAAAATGTCACTACATGAGATTAAAGAGGCTTTATTCAGTCAAGGAAACAACAAAGCTCCTGGCCCTAACGTTTACACCCTTTTATTTTTTTAAAGATCCTGGAATGTGGTAGGAGAGGATGTTATCAATGCTATTAAATATTTCTTTAAAGAGGCTCACATAAGCCCTGCTTTAAACTCCACAAAAATAGCTTTGATTCCAAAAATTCCAAACCCTAGTAAAATCAAAGACTATAGACATATTTCCTGTTGTTCTGTGGTGTATAAAACTGTCACTAAAATTCTTGTCAAAAGACTGAATCTTCTACTACCTGATCTTATATCACTAAATCAAACAGCTTTTGTGAAAGGTATATCTATAATTGACAACACTCTCATCGCTCAAGAATTGGTGAAAGGTTATGGTAGAAATAATATTTCCCCTAGATGTGCCCTAAAAATTGACCTAAAAAAAGCCTTTGATTCCTTTCACTGAGACTTTCTTTCTTCTGTTTTTCATGCAATAGGGCTGCCCTCACATTTATTAAGTGAATTGAAGCTTGTTTCAGGGAAGCTAGGTATTCCATCTCCTTTAATGGGAGTTTGATAGGCTATTTTAAGGGTCAAAGAGGCAAAAGACAAGATGACCCCTTATCACCAATCATATTTGTACTTGCAATGAATATTCTTTCAAATTTACTTAACATTTCTGCTACCAAAGGAATATTCGGATACCACCCTAAGTGCAAAAAAATTGACATTACTCACTTATCTTTTGCAGATGATCTCTTAATTTTTTCAAAGGAAATCTTGAGTCAATTGTTGGTGTCATGATTGTCCTTAATCACTTCTATGATCTGTCTGGTTTAAAGCTAAACGTTTGCAAGACATAATTGTTTTCTGCTGGTATCTTATCTCGAAATCTGGAAAACATCAAATCTGCTACAGGATTCAACCCAGGTTTCCTTCCTGTTAGATACCTTGGTGTTCCTCTTGTTACTAGAAAGTTAACTGCTAAATATTGTCTGCCTCTTATTGAAAATATCAAACAAAGGCTTCATCATTGGTCTGGGAAATTATTAAGTTATGCAGGTAGACATGAGCTTATTAAAACTGTCCTACACAGTGTCGTTAACTACTGGAGTAGGCAGTTTTTACTTCTGCAGAAAATCCTTAATCAATTGGACCAACTCTATTCTAGATTCCTTTGGAAATGATTAGATATGGCTGCTACAGGAGCTAGAATCAGTTGGGAGAATTTATGCTGCCCCAAATCCGAAGGCGGTATTGGCTTAAAAAATCTCAAAACTTGGAATAAAACGTGCATGGTTCATTTCATTCGAAATATTCTTGCAGGAACAAGATCTTTGTGGGTTGCCTGGATTCATTCCTATGTGATTAAATGCAATAATTTCAATGATATAAATGAAAGCTCTTCTTATAGTTGGTGCTCCATGAAACTTATTAAACTTCGAAGCGAAGCACTTCATATTCTAAGCAATGGAATTTCGAAGACAAGAGATCTATGGGAGGAAATCAGAGTCCATAAAGCAAAGGTACCGTGGCACAAAGTTATATGGTTTCCACTTCACATTCCAAAATTGAGTATTATTTCTTGGATGGTTATTCTGGATCGTCTTCCTACTAGGGACATACTATCTAGAATTGGTATTGTTTTAAATGATTCATGTATACTATGTCATGAATCGCCTGAAACAAGAAACCACTTGTTCGTTGATTGCTCTTTTGCTACTTCTCTATGGAACTCTATCATGAGCCTCACTAATATGTACAACACCCATAACACTTGGGATTCAAGGATTCGTTGGGCCTCGTAACAATGGAAATGTAAATCTCTTCTATCCACCATTCTGAAACTTTCTTGGACAGCTTACATATACTCGATCTGGGATGAAAGGAATTGTTGAATCTTTAGAAGAGAAACAAGATCAACTGATCAAGTTCTCAAGACCATCAATGACTATGTTTGAATCAAACTCAGTGATAGAATCATCAATAGAACTGACTTTGCTAATGTAAATTTATGTAATCATTGGGGTATAGAATGATCTTTTTGTTGTAAGTAGATTTTTAAACCCAATTGAGACGTTTTGATGTATCTTTCTACTTTGGATATTAATAAAATTTGCTTATCAAAAAAAAATTATTTTATGAAATATGACATTTATTACAATATATTATAAATTTTTTCTGCTCACATTACGAATTTATCCAAATATTATATTTTAATAGACATAAGTTTGTGAATCTCATGAGATCTAATTGTTTAATATATTTTTTGAAATTTAACATGATCACATGAAAAGTTCTATTAAAATATAGAGAAAATAACCTCAGTGACAAAAAATCCTAGATAATATACGATTTTTACTAACTTTTTTTGGATTTGCAAAAATGACCAACAAAATCGCAATGCGATCTCTAATTTGCATTGTGATCTCCACTATCGCAAATTCGCGTTGCATTTCGCGTTGCGATAGTTGAAAATCGCAACGCGATTTTCCATTTCGCGTTGCGATAATCTACAGTTGTTGTTGCGATAGTCTACAGTTGTCGTTGCGATTTTCCAAATTCGTTGCGATAGTTAAAAAAAAGATTTTGTTTCTTAAGAATTTTCTCTAAAAAGATAGTATCCGCACGGACGTGTCGAAGACACGTATTACCATGACCACGACCACGACCCGACCTGACCCGAGACGGACGGCGGCGACGACGGCATGCGAGAGTCCCCCTTGTTCTCTATCACTCAACAAGGAAGTGAGAAAGTCAAGCCTTAAATACCATTCCCAATAGTGTTTCCAATACTATGTGGGATTGAGCATTACCAACACTTGTTTCCAATACAATGTGATTATTCAGGAAACAATTAATAATCATGCACCTTAAAACAACTGAATTAGCAACCAATTGCATTAGTATTATACGATTAAATATGTCATAATTAAAAGTCAATCTACAATCAATCGCGATTATTGCAATTTTAAGCAAAACATTCAAAAATAATATCACTATTTAAGGCTCAATCCCACATATTATTGGGAACAAGTGTTGGAAATGCTCAAATCCCACATAGTATTGGAAATACTATTGGGAATAGTATTTAAGGCTTGGCTTTCTCACTTCCTTGTTGAGTGATAGAGAACAAGGGGGACTCTCGCGGCCGCCGCCGCCGCCGTCGTCTCGTCTCGGGTCGTGGTCGTGGTAATACATGTCTTCGACACGTCTGCGCGGATACTATCTTTTTAGAGAAAAAATATTTTTTTTTAACTATCACAACGAATTTGGAAAATCGCAATGACAACTGTAGACTATCGCAACGACAACTGTAGACTATCGCAACGCGAAATGGAAAATCGCAACGCGAAATGAAAAATCGCAATGCGACTTTCAACTATCGCAACGTTATTTTCAACTATTGTAACGCGAAATGGAAAATCGCAACGCGATTTTCAACTATCGCAACGCGAAATGAAAAATCGCAACGCGAAATGCAACGCGAATTTGCGATAGTGGAGATCGCAATGCGAATTAGAGATCGTATTGCGATTTTGTTGGTCATTTTCGCAAATCCAAAAAAATTGGTCAAAATCGTATATTATCTGGGATTTTTGGTCACTGATGTTATTTTCTCTATAATATATTATTTTTTGTGATTTAAAATAAAATAAAATAATTATTAATTTGTATTTTTTAAATAATATAATTCGTCATATGGGTGTGACGAATTATGTTTGGATTTGAAAATTGTATTCGTTAAGTGAACTTACATCCAAAAACTTACATTCATAAAGCAGGGGAAGAGATATTACCTTCAACAACATCATCAGTTCTTCTATATTTGTGTGACTAATCATTCTTTTTGGACTTCATTTCTTATAGGATATTGACCACCCCTGAGAATCTAGGCTTGTCTTCCTACCCATTCCTTCCACCTCTTGAATAATAGTCCAAATTTGAGGAACTAGTAAATGTGATCTTACCCTTGTCACACTTTTTCCACGACTTTTTTTATATGAGAAGAAGGGTCCAATGGAGAAAATTCACTAAACTTAGCATCACCAATCATGACTTTCTTATTACACACTGTTTCTCATGTTTCTCAGTAGCAGACACAACCACTTCATGACTACCATACACCTCCTCAACATCCTCTATATTAACCTAATTAGCAACCTCATCCTTATTACCACATTCCACCTGCTCATTTTGAGTATCTTTCTGTCCATGAACCTCATGTGCAGTCTTCAAATTAGAATCAAGTGAAACCTTAACCCTCTACTCATTCTATTATTTATTAATTCCCCTAGTGCATTTTTCCTCCGAATGACCAAACCTCTTACACTTGGCACAATAAGATGACAATCATAGAATAACAACTTTTACCATTCCAGTGGTGTTATCACACATCTTTATAGCTATTGTCTTAGCCAATCGAGCATCAGCCTCCACTTCAACACACAATTTGGCAAACTCCAATCTCTCCTCAGAGGTCGTAATAGAGTCCATATAAAAAGGAACTCCCAAGGTACTTGTTATACAATTAAGTCCCTTCTTAGAGTATAACTCCAAATGAACGTTAAACGGTTAAACCCAGTGGCATCCTTGCTAAGTCAAAATTATGCCTATTCAAATTGGGTTTGCATTTTCTAAGCACTATTAGTTTATGTTGAATGTGCCATGAACCATTTTCTATAACTCAATCTCTACTAGTTTCATTAGCAAAAGTGAACACATATAGGTTAAACCCAGCGAGACTAACCATGACCATCGAAGACTTCCCCATATTATCTTCATAATCTTCTGCATTGATCCAAAATTGAGAGTTGACCAAATAAACTGTCCAACCAACGATTGCTTCCACTCAGAGATACCCTCTTCAATCACTGTAGACATCATATTGATCGTCGTCAAACCCTCGCAAATCTCCGATGGGAGAAAATCCAAAGACTATTATGTCGCACCAGAGAATAGGCTCTTCCAATCCATATCCCTCCACGATCAATAAGAATCCATTGTGACCTAATCAAAAATCAAACCAATAAGAATCTCTAAGAAATCCCAAATCTCTAAGAACAATAATCCAACTATCTAAAGAGAAAACGATTATTTTCTATGATTGTTTTCCACAAAAATTTCTAAACATGTTAATTAATAATATAAATTTACTCAAATATAAATTTAAGAAATTACCTTATAACGAGTGAAAACAAGACTAGAGTATTATAATTGGCGTAAAAAACAAAAAGTAGTATCATACCCACAATTGCAATAAGACTAGACAACTAGTTACATCCGCTCTTTAACACTTTTCCACTATTGTAGCATTACAAAGTCTACGGTATAAAAATGCCAATATCGCATAACCCCAACTATATTGAAGTCATTCACCAAAAATTTTCATTAACGAAAAATATTGAGCGTGCACCAAATTCTCGAATTTATCCGATAACAATATCCCTCCAATCAGTTGGAGAAGATATGTTCAGGCTACATACATGACCTCTTCCTCGACAGAACGCTTATCTACTTGAAATTCACTCTCCAAACATGTCATCAATATTCAATACCCATCTACGACATTTGACGATAGCGTATTTCTCAATGTTGCACCATTTATCAGAACACCAAGTTGGTAAGTTACATCTTCCAAAGTAATTGTCGCTTCACCACAAGGAAAATTAAACGTATGAGTTTCAGGTCTCCAACGTTCAGTCAACACTGAAATTAGTGCAGGCACCACCCTTAAACCACGAAGAAATGGTAGGATACAATCCAGATTGTTGTAGATAAATAACAGTTCACTTATGTGACGGTGCATTTTTCATTCCTCGATGAAGACGTCTCGTTTTTCTTCATACACTTTCAAATTAAAACATTTAATACAATTTTCAAAACAACAACATTAATATTATAATTTGAACTTTAAAAATATAAGAAATAAATCTTACCGAAGTCAGTTCAATCGATGAAATATAGACATTATCAAGATGTAATATTTGTTCTCGTGTAGAAATTTTACCGTAAAATCTTCAAAAAACATAAACTTTTTTCTCAATAAACTATTTTTCTTCTCAATAAATCATAATACATACCTTAAATTCTCAAACCCTATTTATAAGTCAAATTCCAACAGCCATAAACGGCTAGTTCATGCAACTCGTCACACTGACTTGACGAGTTCTATGGACTAGTTGTTTATGGCCGTTAGAATCTATATGTTGTCCAACGTTTACTTAACGACTACAATTTTTAAATCCAAACAGAACTCGTTACGCCCACATTATGAGTCTCGTGAATTTTAAAAAATAAATTTATAATTATTTTATATTATTGTAAATTTAAAAAGAGAAAATAACCTCAGTGACCAAAAATCCCAGATAATATACGATTTTGACCAACTTTTTTGGATTTGCGAAAATGACCAACAAAATCGCAATGCGATCTCCACTATCGCAAATTCGCGTTGCATTTCGCGTTGCGATAGTCTACAGTTGTTGTTGCGATAGTCTACAGTTGTCGTTGCGATTTTCCAAAT